AGTGGTGCCCTTTTCACACCTGAGCGCTGAGTTGTAACACACGTAATGCACACTTACCATGTGATTATGCACCCAACAACACCTCCTCCTTTCTGTTCGGCTAAAAGAAAAATGCCTGAAAAACATGCAACTAAAGTTTCAAAATTGCTTGAAAATGCTCAAGTGTCAATGGGGCCTTAAAGCCCAATTCCAGGCAGTTACCCCTGCCACTGCCAGTCTTGCATTGTGTGCGATGACAGAGTACCCACCCACATACCGGCAGGGGAACAAAGAGGACCAGAGTCTCTTCGGCCATGGGGCAAACGAGAAAAATAAGTAATCCTCTTTAGGATCATACCCTAGACAAAACAAGCTGCATCAGCTGAGGGGAGAGGAGGGTTACAATGTTTAAGCTGTAAAGAGTCCGCGGTTCAGCTTTAAAAGGTTATGTATTGAAAGAATAAAATATACTCCACCTAATACTTAGAGCTGGCGTGGAACACTGCAACTGTCACATACCGGCTCTACAGACTGAGATCTGAGCAATCAAACCGCTGATTGCTCAGCTCACCGTCCTTTCCCTGCAGAGCGCCGTGACTGTCAATCACAGCACCACCCAGGGATTCCCAGTCCCCTCTCTGTCAGACAGGGGACGGGGCGGGCACAGCTGGCTCTAGAGATGGAGAGTCAGCTGTCACTGGCAGCTGGATGGATCCAGACAATATTGTCAGAATCCTTCCCAGCTGCAGCGCAGCCATTGCCGGATTTCCCACAAGGCCAACCAAGGCTCCGACCTCGGGGCAGAAGGGAGTAGAGGGGCAGCAGGGGTGTGGAATTCCTATCTTCTGATGCCTGGGCAGGTAGTTGTTTTCTACATTTAGCCCTGCTTTGGGCAAGCAGAGCTAAATGTACAGCAAGGAAGCCACCACTTGTTTTGTACAAATGATCTCGGCGACATTGTATGCAGCCTGCAGGTCTGCCATTCTCCGGGGGGTGGGGGAGAGGGGGCAGTTGGCGGGTAGGGGGGCGCATTGAGGAACATGGCCTTGGGGCAGCAGAGAGCAAATCCGGCCCCCCTGAGCGCAGCCACTATAAGCCGACACTGGGTCAAATGAGCACAATATACTCCCATGACCCAAATGAAAAATACAGCCAAAAATAAAACCAGATGAGCACATGAGTCTAAATCAGTGGTTCTCAACCTGTGTAACCTCAGGACCCCCATTTGTCCTCGGTCATTAAGTCGCGACCCAAATCGCACTGCAATGGACCGCGCGGCATTGCGGTACTGTGCGTTCCGGTGTGGGTGATTGAACTATGAGTGGGAGGGGTGTTTGGGGTACCATTCAAATGAATATCAATGCAACATCCCTCCCACACCAGAATGCATAGTAGGTGTGATTGCGTGTTACAGTGCATTATTCTGGCCCAGGCACCTCTACAGGACACATGAGGGAGCTGTAAGCAATCCATATACGGATGGAGCGACCTTGCCGCCATAGCCCACCTCAAGCTGACACGATGCTGGGCAGCATATTATGAATGGCTGCTTGGCATGATAACTGATGGTGCTGCACTAGGGGAGGCTGAGGAGCCTCTCACCTAGAAAAGGGGAAGGCATGCGGTGACCCACTGAACATGAGGTCGCGACCCACTTTTGGGTCACGACCCACCAGTTGAGAACCAAGGGTCTAAATGATTGCTGACATTGTATTTGTTGTGTCCATTTCCTTGATGCAATGGTACACCATTAGAGTAATTAAACTTCCATCTAAGACATGAATATAATGACATTTAAAAAGTTAACAACATGAAAACCAAAATCTCTATTTAAATCCCTTTAACCACTGATCAAAATATGGCAGAAAAACACAGTTTAAGCTTATATTTTGAGGCACCAAAAAACAAAACCCATGCATGTGGTCTGAGAATGACAGAATAAAGCAGGGTGGAAACAAAGCTGTCCCTGACAATCAGGGATGAAAGATAGTGATGTCATGAAGATAATCAAGCAAAGGATCTAAAAGACCAAAATACAATTGGGCTGGGCACTACAGACAGGCAGGTCCATAAACAAAGCAGTTTTTTTTGTTACATATACAAGTGACGCAGTTTAAAATGCACAATGTAAGCCTATCAGTCATTTCCTTTTTGAGTTCATTAGGTTACACAGGAAGTGCACCCCTACAACAGGAACCCAAATAAAGGAAACACATCGCTGCAAGAGCGCCATGCAGCACAAACCATTACTGTATTTTGCCCTGTTAGAAAATATGGTTTTCCCTTTTTTTTTGGTTTACCCTTTGCTGCACTTAGTGCTGCTCATCTCGTCCCGGACTCTTTCCTGTCTACATGCACTTGCTCCACCATCAGCTGCAAATCCTTCCCCAGGACTGCTTTCTGAGGGTGACAACAGTGCCCATACCCGTTTACAGTCTCCACCAGAAGCACACGTGACAGGGTGACACTGAAAGGGAACAACTACATAACAGACCAGAAACTAGAGGCAGGCAATGTCGGCACTCCAGCAGTGGTAACACTACTAATCCCATCATGCCTCTGGGAGTCATGCCCATAGCTGTCACTCTTGCACTGCCACATAGGACTTGCAGTTCCACAACAGCTGGAGTGCAGAGAATGCTTACCTCTGGTGTAGAATGCTGTTACAGGAAATGTCTGTGCAAGGAACTTCCTGGAAGGATAACTAGCAATTATAAATCATGTAAGATGGTAAAGATTATACAAAAATGTTGCGTTTTGATTACCATATTCTTCTAATTCTGTTAGTGACACTAAACCCAGGAGTTAAATCTTAAAAAGGCATTCCAGTACCCTATTAACAATACTGGACCTTATTTCTGTATCACTCAGCTGTAAATCCTCAAATCATCTCTGGATCGGTGCTGACACTGTCCTTCCTTCTGGAGGGTGGCTACTTTTGTTCCCCATGGTCCCTGTGTGTGTTGTAAAGTAGCCACTGCTCCAAGCTCACTCCTGTGATGGACTACAATCTCATGTTTAGTTTACTAATTGCTACCAGTGACGTGCCATACCTTCTCTGCTGGGTGAGGCATCCCCCAGGCTGCTGAAGCTCCGCCCCATCCTGCCAAAGCCCGGTCCCCAGTTCGGTAACCAAGTCGTGTGGAGGAGGAGAGGAGACAGGGAGGAGCCTCCCTGTCCCTCACTGCTGAGGCATCGAGATTGATGGCCTCAGGTGCGTTTTGTTTTTCTTTTTTTGATTGGACAGCTTGGACTAATGGCTCTTTGCCATTGGTCAAAGCCATCCACAGAGCTCACGCCTCCAACACAGAGTAGAGGCTGTGACAGCTCTTGCCTAACCAAGTTAGGTTACACAATCAGTGAGGAAGCCCGCTGCTGTCTAACCTAACTACCCGTCAAAAGCCAGATGCAGTGCTGCCTGTAATTAACAGGCAGTGCTCTATCCTTGACCGGTTACACAGCGGGGAGGCTTTCCCTGCCGTGTAGCCTGCTAAAAGCCGATCTGAATGGAGAAAAAGATGTCAGCTTCAGGCTTGAAGCGGACACCTTTCTTCTTCATAATACTAGGTAAGGCTCTGCCTCCCCTGACTTCTACTGAGGTTGTAATCCATCACAGGAGTGAGCTTGGAGCAGTGACTACTTCACAACACACACACACAGAGACCATGGGGAACAAAAGTAGCCATCTCCCAGAAGGAAGGACAGCGTCAGCACCAATTCAGAGATGACTTGAGCATCTACAGCTGAGTGATACACAAAAAGATTCATTTTTGTTACAAGGAGAACTATGGGGTCAGTGTTTTTCCCCATAGTTCTCCATAGGGTAACGGGGAGGACACAAACTAGCGTCCTCCCGTTACCCTAAGCTCAGTATACCTCGAGCTACAGCTCGCGGTATACTGAGACGCCGCAGCGGATCCCGACGTAGATGACGGGATCCGCCCAGCTGCGTGAGTGACAGCTGGCTCTGCCTATCTAGAGGCAGAGCCAGCTGTACCCGTCCGTTCCGCCAGTCAGCACTGGTGGATCGGAGCGGGGGGGGAGGGGAGTCCAGCCCCTCCCGTCACGGCAGAGAGCCGTGACAGGATCGAGAGGTGAGCGAACCTGGTATGTGCTCCCTCACCTCCCGACCTACTGAGCTGACCTGTGACAGTCTCATTGTCACAGGTCGGCTAGAACTATGAGGTGAGTGGAAATCACTCATCTCATAGTTCTCCTTTAAATTAAAGTACTGGAATGCATTTTTAAGATGCAACTCCTGAGTTTAGGGTCACTTTATGCTAGCCATAAAAAATAAATAGCCATAAAAATCTGAGCTAATTCTATCAGCACCACCCAGCACAACAAAAGTCAATTTAAAAATCTACTGAGCAGAATGGAAAATGATCAGCCAAATAGTGACAGCATCCAATCAATGCCACCACTGTTCTGGTATCTGAATACAATAGCCAGCAGAGGATATTCCTCCATATACGCTGTTTAGCAAAGATGATGGAATTGAGTTTTTTTTTCCCATTCAGCCCACGCATGGCTAGCATCGGGCGGCTGGAATGGCGAGCACCCCTAACACTGTTTCAGATCTCACATTTCATCCAAGGCCTAGAAGAGGGGTGAAACATGCCTGGACTAGACCAGGAGAGTCAGGCCACCAGTCTACATATCCACCTCTAGATGAGACAATGGTTTACACACAGACACATGGCCAATGTCTATCACATTGAGGTAAATAGGAGATCTGAGATTGAAGAAGCCTGGCTTTAAAAACAAAGAGCCTCCTAGACTTTATTCCAATCTCATTTTGGAGGAAGTGTTCATGACAGGAGTATGCATAGACATCAGGAGCCTGTGGAATATTAGGATGATCAGGTATTATGGATAGAGCACAGAGCCCCCTAACACTGATTGGGAAAGGCTTGGTAACTCATATATGAGCACAGCACATAGGACTGAATACAGAAGACCAGCCCTGAGAGAAGAAAGAGCACGGCCAATAGCACCTGCATGGTAATGGTGCCTCATACCTGTCCTGTTGTTGGTGTCACAGGCAGACACTGGAATGGGGAGTGTCACAGGGACAATAGCGCTGCCTCCGCCGCTCGCTCCTCTTCTACTCCCGGCTCTCATAGAGCCCCAGGTGGCCGCAGTGTGCACCGATGGCAGGAGCTGGAACTCGGTGGGCCACGACCCTCTTCGTAACGGGTAACCAACCTCCGTCAGAGGGGCCAACCTCAGCCGCCACTGCCTGTCTATATACAGGGCGGGGGCAAACTATAGGCATCCAGCAAGCTAACTATCTGCCGGTGACCGGGACCTCTTCGCAGTTCCGGTACCCGAGTAATATCAGCCGAAACCCCGCTGTTTCCGGTTGCTTACTCCGCCCCCGGTGTCCCGGTTCCCTTCCTCACACTGCGGACCGGAAACCCCACTACCAGCTCCGCCCTGCGCTCCCGTACAACAAGGGAAGGGGCGGGAACCGGGTGGAATACGTGCATGACGTCATGCTCTAAGATTGGCACACTCACCGGAAGACATTTTGAAAACTGGCATGATTGTTTTATGTGCGGGGTGAAAGGGGCTTCTTTCGCAGTCAGAGATATATTGTCGAAACTCTTTACAGCCTCAGCCTGAAATACATAAAGCAATTGGACAATTCAGGAATTTTTAGCACATCTTGTTATTGATGTATAGGCTTTGCCAGCATTAAAAATGGCGCCTCGAACATTCAGGAATCAACTGCGCACACCCGGGTTCCAGCAGGGACTTTTTTTCCTCCCATAGCGACGGCTTGTAATGTTGCTAGGCGGAAGTAAAAAAACAAATTAGGCTGATGGAGCTACGACGCTCCTAGTGGTTACTTAACAATACCAGCCATGATTATTGCAAGCTAGAGCCTGCCTTTCCTACTGTACTCGCACAGATCGCATTACATGGGCACTATACCACAGCCCAGTATGGTTTACTCTGTACTTTAGTATCAGATAGTACATATTACCCATACCTGTACAGTAACTGAGAGAGAAATTTATAATACTTTTTTTTGTGCAAGGTTTGCTTTAGATAAACTACTATAGGAAGCAATACTGTTGCAATCAATGCGTTACGGTATGTAAGTTACACGTGTGTTTAGTAAATAAAAAAGTTCATTCAATTTGAATGAGCTGTCAATGCAATGCAGGTTTTGACAGATCATCACCATTCCCCTGATGCAGCACACCACAACAGATAATTCACATCTACACATTTACAACTATTCATGTGTTAAACCACATGTGTGTTGTAGTGCCATTCAAAATTACTGCAATGCACTAGTTTTGTGTTTGGTGGTAACAGTAAAACCCCCAAACCATTCCCAACCATCAGAGATGTTGAAAAACCAGCACTGGTCTATCATCAGCAGTTGACCATAGGTGGGTGTGGAGTTTCTTGTTGTAGGCTTGGTGGTGGACTCTGAAGACTTAGCAGCTCAACAGGGCTTTTGTCTTTGCAGAGGTTAGCCTGGGAGGAAATGCAGAAGGATTGTCCTTCTGAGAGCAATACAAGCACACGTAGGGGCAAAAGGAAGTTGTATACTTCTAAGAAGAGGACCTCAGATTTTGGATTTAAGGAAGATGAATGGTCTGTCCACCTGTGGCATCTTTGATAATGGGATTAAAGGAGGCCCCGAATAGCTTGTCCCTTGTAAAAGAGAGCTAAGTAATGGATATCTTGTAAGGCTGATTGGTATAGCGGTGCTCTAGACACTTAAAGAAGAACTATGAAGTGAGTGATTTTTACTCATCCTCATAGTTAGAGCCGACCTGTGACAAAGAAGCTGTCACAGGTTGACTCTATCGATGGGGAAGTGAGCAGAAACATGTACCGATCCGCTCACATTTTACGATCGCCTCCCAGCCGGGATTCCCCTCTCCAATCTTCCAGCGCTGAGTGATGGAAGGGGCGGGAACAGCTGGCTCTGACTCTAGATAGGCAGAGCCAGCTGTCACTCACGCAGCCCAGTGGATCTCGACACTATTGTCGGGATCTGTCCCGGGCTGTGGCGCTCTCAGCATATTGCGGCCAATAGCCCGCTATATTCTGAGCTTTGGGTCACGGGAGGACGTTAGTATTAGACATGTGCACTGCCCAAAAAATTGTTTTGTTTCTTTTTAAATTCAGATTTGTGTTATTTCGTTTTTCAGGGGTGAAAGTCAATTCGGATTCGTTCGACCATTCGTTTCGTTTTCGTTTCGTCCATTCGTTCGTTCGTTTGCAGCAAAGTGACTTTTGAGGGGGGGAAATGTTTTTCTTCAACAAACGAAAACGAAACGAACGTTCGAACGCACTACCGCTACCCAATTTCGGAAACGGAAATTCAGATTCGTTTGCATTCGTTATATCTGGAATTCGGAATTCGGATACATGCGAATGTCCGAAAATTGGTCCGAATTTCGATTCGGAACGAAACGAATTGCACATGTCTAGTTAGTATATGTCCTCCCATGACCCTAAAGAGAACTATGGGGAAAAGCACTTAGGCCATAGTTTGTTTGTTTTTTTAAAGAAAAACGGCATCTAAACAAGCATTATTGTACACTTTATTTTAGAATCATCTTCAACAGAAGAATCTGCACTTGAGATTTCTCTGAAAAGGCTTTTTCTTAGAATCCAAACACTCTTTTTGGGTGAATTCTGTCAAAACTTGGTACAGGAAATACTCTGCCCATTTCCTCTTTTAGGATGTGGTGCAGACAATAATGAAAAGACAATTATACTTTATTTTCTTACAAAAAAGCAGTGGGATAAAATAGGATTTTTGTACTCCCATAAAATCCTTTTCCATTGTGAGACAAAGGAAGTCTTTAACCTTCAGTATATACTACCACCTACAGGAGGACTGGATACTGGCAAACCCCCAAAAAACTGTAGCCAGCCCAGGATAATGTCTTCCACTACCCGCATGCCTCAGTTTTATATATAACTGTATATATACATATACATACATATACAATTCTTAAACACAGATATCTCTAAACACAGGGACGTACTACTCAATGGACTCAAGAAAAGGGTTTTAAGGTAAGAACAAAAATCCAATTTTCTTTCTCCTCCATTGGGAGACACAGGCATTCTTGAACCTTCAGAACATCCAAAAGCAGTCCATCTAAGAGGTGAGCAACATAGCAAACAAACATTAATAGGCCCAAGAAAACAACAGAGAACTGGGGACCTACTGCAGCCCAAAGAGCTGCTGTAAAGACCTTATGTCGGAAGTTGGCATCAGGACACAATAACCACCTGTTAGAAGTCGAGACCAAGTTGCAGCCTTCCAAATCTGGGAAACAGTTGCTTGAAGACAAAAAGCTGAAGAAGCACCCAAAGATCTAGTAGTGTGCTTTGACAAAAAAAGTGTGGAATCGATCCATAAGTCCGGAAGTTTGCACAATTGTTTTCCTAAGCCACCTAGCGATAGCAGAAGTGGAAGCTGGTGCGCCCTTATGGAGTTCATCTTTGATGCCCCCAAAAAAGGATGAAAGATTCTTCATGAAAGAATCAGTGGTTGAGAGATAAGATTTGGAGAGCCCACGCCACATCCAGATAATGAAAGGAAATGTTCTTTTGTGACGTGAAGCCAGATAGAAATGGAAGAACAATGTCCTGGTTGAGGTGAGAGGCAGAAACTGCCTTAGATAAGAAGGAATAGTTCAGGGCTTTAACACCACTTTGTCTCTATGCAAAACCTGGTAGCCATCACCTCTATGAGATGATTGTCTAAACCTGTAATTTTATCCTACATGGAATACTTTAATACCAGGAATACCACCTTGGTTTTACAGTAGAAAGAGGAATGTCTAGCGGATTCAAATGGCAGTTTTTGAAGCACAGAGAAAACCAGATTAAAATCCCATGGAGTCAGAAGGTATTAACAAACGGGGAGCTACATGGGAGACTCCCTGTACAAAGGTCTTCATCTAGACACGGGAGGCACGCAATCTTTGAAACAGATTAGAAAGAACAGAAATCTAGTCCTTGGTAGCCCAACTCTGGTTCAGGCCCAGCTGTAGGATGCAAAGTATTCAGTGCATGGTGAAACTCTTATGATGGAAGCCCAGGGACTCAAGGGAATAAAGAAGAATCAAATGATGTACATGTTCTACTTCACAAGACAGACCTTGCAGGAATTAGCCTTCCTACCTTTTATCATTGTAGGAATCACAAATTCAGAAATGCTCGTCTTTCAAAACCTGGGCTTCAACGGCCATACCGTTAGACAGCATCTGTGAAGCAGAATGGTAAATTGATCCTTGAGTCAAAAGATCCAGATGCCCACAGAGCATCCGCCAGGATTCTTACCAGGTTGGTGTGCCACATGCAGAGAACCGATGATCACCTGAATGGTCTCCATCTAAATCATGTGAAGCAAAAGAGGGAGAAGTTTCAGGGAAGGAACAGCATAAATATCATGGTGTACTAATCCCCTGGAGCCAGAGGATCCCTATACCTGTCCAGTTTGTTTTTGAGCCAGAACAACAGATTCACATCTGGCAACCTCTTCCTGCGACAGATTCTGGAACAGCTTTAGGTGTAGGGACAACTCACTCATGCACAGACCATTTTGGCTAAGGACATCTGTCTGCCAATTGTCTCCAGCTGGAATGTACAAGAAATTTGAAGTTCTCCCCGGGATCTGATCTACCCCTATTGCTACTGTAAGTATTCTGGTTCTTCCCCGATGGTTGTCATACGCCACCACTCTGGTGTTTTTCCAACTGCATCCATTTACCGATCTCCTTGCTAAAGGGAGCCAGAAGCGACACTGCTTATATCACTTGTTTTCCTCAGCTGTCATTGCCTGGCTAGAGCAGTCGGAGATGAAGCTATTCAAATGCAATCTGCACTTGAATAGATTCTTTGCAGTAGAAAGGTGACAATAGGGGTCTAATAGATCCCTAATGTCATCTTAAAGAGAACCATTCACATCCAATGTGCTATCACATAGGGGGCTTGTAAGCCCTATGTGATAGCAATTTAGTACAGGACAAAAAAAGTAAAATAATTGTAAAAATACCCAAAAAAAAGTTAGTCCCCCATACTGCGAACGTGCGCTTCACATTATCACCGCATCCAGAGTGGAAGTAGTCATTCTAGGGCCAATAGTAATAGTTACCTCTAAACTGATGACCTGTACAGGCTTTGAAAGCATTGCCAATGGACAATTTGATGTACTG